TGAGTTTCCCACGTGTCTCCAAGGGATGGCGCTATAGTGGTACAATGGTTTGAGTGCAGCCACTCATGGGGATTGAAGTGTTCTCCCGGACGTATTCAAATGCATAATCAGACATGCTGACGATTGTGATGATGCCTTCCAACAATTGCATCATCTTTGTCAAAGGCCATCTGAGTCAATGATGCAATTTGGCGTTCGTTTCCGAAGTTTCTTACTTCGTGCAGAGCCAAATATATCGAAGCATATCAAGCTAAGAATGTTGTGGCCAGCCCTTCATTAAGGTCTTGGAGGATTTGTGCATGCACTTGCTCCAGCCACCCTTGATGATGCCCCTCACTTGGCACAATGTTATGAGATATGACCTCTTCCACTTCTCACTGCACGTCCTTCAAGTCCACTTCCTGTGGGAGATAGTCTTATTCTAATGGAGGTTAGTGTTGTTGCTGCTTGAGTTTAAGGACAAAGGTGAGGATGTGGTTGTGGTTGTGATGTTTACTGCTGGGTGTGTGATGAAGTTAGTCACACTTATCAGCACTATTAGTGTTTTCCAAATTGGTAGCTTCCATTTCCTAGGTGGACACCTTAGCGTCAACAATGTTCTGTTGGTGTTGCTACAGTGGAAGGTCTGAACACCAAGATGCATCTGGGAAATAAAGAGTCACACAAGTAACGGAAGGACCCTACGCAAATAAGTTAATAACCCCTCCATTTTTCTTTCGAGAGTATCATCAAGGGGTTCACTTGGCACCAATTTATTCAGTGTTTACTTTCCAAACTTATTTTTATAAAAAGAGGTCTCCTATTATTCTCTTTCTGTTGGTTGATATATATTCAAGTTTATCTTTTATTGCTCGACCTATTACCACATGTTGCCATCTACATTTGCATTATGTGGTGGAGCTAGTTTTCATTCTTTATGGCAACGGTTGTACATATGCATGTGCACGGGATGATTCAAACCTAGTTGTGTATGTGGGCAATCTTTAGCTTGGGTTGTAGTTATTGCGAGTGGTGCCAAGCATAGTTCTTTATATTTCATCCATTCCTCTCATTCCTATACCTCTTTATCCCTCTACTTTTATCTCTGTTTTAATTACTTTTGTCTCCCCATTACTTCCTCCTACGTTTCCATCTTATTCTGCTCTTCCCTTTTCTCTTTGTGTTACAACAGTTGACCAACTTATGAAGGAGTATGCCAATCTCTTTGAATTTGATCTATCATTTGGGGCCAAGATTACCATACGTCATCTGATTCTCATCAGGGATGCTCATTCAATTAAGTTTCATATTTGTTGAGACAAGGGGGAGAAGCCTTAAGTCACACTTGGCATAATTGCGTTGCACCCAATCTATACCAAGGATGAGGTTAAAAGCTTGATCAATCACTTAAAGAGCTCAAGATTTTACATGTGAACGTTAAGGAGATGTTAGAAAAAGGTGTTATTCGAAAGTCTTGGAGTTTTTGGGCATGTGAACCTCATCTTGTGACGAAGCCTGATAGGAGTATTTGTTTTTGCATTGACTATTATTTCTTAAACTAAGTGACAATCCCTAATGTGTACCCTCTTCCTCACACTGCTAATTTCTTGAATCGTCTGGGGAGAAGTTGTTAGTTCACCAAACTAGTGTGAGACACAAAATCCTTAAGCCCCAAAGGGGAGCCAAAAGGGTGCCATATGGTAGTGGTTGATGTAGAAGCCAAATAAGTGTAATATATTTGGACTAAAAGCTCCAACTTGAAAAGTCAAGAGCAGGAGTGAAACTCCCAACGAAGTGTTCGAGGAACGAGCATGAAGCAAGCAATAAGTGAGTCTCTAGAAAAGGGACACAAGAGGACCAACACATGACATGTGGAAGTGTCTGAGATGGAGTCCAAGATGGAGTCCAAGATGGATCCAAGATTGAGTCCTAAATAGAGTTTGAGATGGACCCGAGATGGAGTCCAAGATGGAATCGAGACCGAGACTGAAATTGAGTCCGAGTCTGAAACCAAGACTGAGATTGAGTCCGAATACTAATACAGACTGGTAAGTGAAAGCCCAAAGTATCGTCCCTTGAGGGGGGGGGGGGGGGG